AAGGAAGCTCACCGCGTCGCCAGGCGAGACCGCGACAGCTGCGAAGGCCCAGGCCGAGTCCCTGAGCGTCTTTCTGTACGAGGCGTCGACATAGATATGTACTGACCGTGCTCTATGTGCCCCGCGCGCTGAAATACCCAGAGCAAACTTAGCAGTGCGATGCAAAGGGGTGTCTCCAAAATCGCCATTGCAAAGCTCAAACCAGTTGATGTTCTGAAGTAAAACCTGATATATCCTGTCCGCCTCCTGAAAACCACAGTGACCACTGCCATTCCTTGCAGGATTCTGGAAAAGTAAGGGGTAAAGGCGCAGGGAAGTGATGCACCCCCACCCTCCCTCAAGGCCAGCACATTCCCCCCAGCAACTGCTTCGAGCTGCTCCCTGGATGGGGCGGGGTGCGACGGCAGTGGAGGGGGGTCTGGCACAATCGCAACTGCAATTGACGTTTGGGTGGCCTCGTGTCCTAGCTCAGCAGGCACAGCGCGCTGCAATTCGCGAGGACGAGGCTGAAAAAGATGTTCCTTCGAGGTCTTGCCCCGCAAGCGATACCTCGTTCGGCCGTTGGGCCGACTGGAAGATGAAGGTGAGTCCTCAATGGCATCACCTGAAGTGGCGGCCGAAGAGGTGGCATTACCTGTCTGCGAATTCTCATAACCATGACCCTTGGACGAGAGATCCGCGGCAGGGGCCGACCTAAGAATCGGCCTAGTGAAACAAGTCCGAGAAAGCGCACCCCTGGCTTGTCGGACAATTATCGGTGCATGCGTGCCAAAGCGCCTCACTTCGACTGGGCCCCAAGAGACCCTGCTGGGGCCTACAGGTTGGACCCGTCTTCCAGCTCATACCCCTGGCACTGCATCTTCTTGGGGGGGGACCTGTTGGGCGAGTCCCCCATGTTCTCCTCTTTGTTTCCCTCCTCGAGCGGTCGAGTCCTCGAGGCCGCAGGAGGTGCCTCCTCTGCTGCTGCCGCTGCTGCTGCCGTCGGTCCCGCCGAGGCCGCCGCGGCCGGCGCTGAGGGGGCTGCCGCTGCCTGCGGGCGAGGCGCCGCGGCCGACGATGCTGCTGCCCAGGCTGGGGGAAACAGCGTCACAGGCGCTGGCTGCGGGGGGTCCACTGGCGACCCAGGCGAGCGCTGCGTCGGCGGTGGCGTGTGGGAGCGCTGCGTCTGACTGGTCAAGTCGATGGAGGCCCCCTGGATGTGCTGCAAGAGGTGAACTGGCCCTGGGATCATTTCCTCCGCCATCATTGGCTGTGTCGGAACCAACAACATGGGGTCGATCGGCATGACCTCCTCCTGGACTCCCTCCTCTGCAGCTCCGCTGTCACTCTGGAAACGCCCATTACCTTCGGGATGTCTGGGACCGCCTTCTCCTCGGCCTGGGCCCTCGTCTCGGCTGCCGCGCCGAGGTTGGGGGCTCTGGCTGGCGTCGGCGATGCCGACTGCCTCTTCGGTGGCGGCGTCTTTGCCACAGGGCCCTCTGCCGAGCACGATGGTGCCGAGCCTCCGCACGGGTCCTGGACGATCTTCGCCATGTTCGCGCTGCTCTGGGGAGGCGCCCTCGGCCCCATGGCTGGCGCTGAGCCTTGGGGGGCTGCGCCAAAACCTGGCGCAGTCAGGGCGGCATCTCTCGGCATGCACTCTGGCGCCAACCCCTGATGGTCAGGGGGGCTCGTGCTGGGGTGCGGGAGTCCCGTGATCACTGCCCGCTGCGCCTGCTGAATCGTCTGCGCGTCCATGAGCACATCTCCTGCCGTTGCGCCGATGCCGACTCCCAAGACCCTGGCCAGGGCGAAAGCGTGGAAGTTCTGGCCCGTCTGCATCCTCGAGAGGTGCTCCTGGATGGCCTGCTGCTGGGCCTGCACGGTTTTCATCTGCTCCGTCATCGCTGTGATGGCCGCTGCCGTTGGGCCGTCATCTCCCGCACCCCACGGGCCATTAGGCCTGGCGCCGCGGGGGCTGGCGGGCTCTGGCGCCGTCGGCGCTGCTGCAGCTGCGGCTGCCTGGCCGCGCGTCGCCCCAGAGGCCGCGCGCGGGGCCGCCTTCTGAGGCGGCTGGTACATATACTTCTGCTGCTGTGGCTGGTTAGGCATTGGCGGCGGCGGCGGCGGCACTCTGTTCGCTATCGCCTCCGCCGCGGCCTTGGCTGACTGAGCCTTTGCCTCTGCCTGCGCTGCCGCCCTCTCGGCCGGCGCTTGCACCCATGGCCTCTGGGCGCTGCTGGCGGCCCTGAGGCCGTGCTCGCTTCCTCCTGGCGGGGCCATCAGCCAGTCCTCATCGTGGTCTGGCGCGTCCTCCGCTTCACGGAGCTGCTGGATGGAGTTCTGCAGTTTCTGCACCATCAGGCAGAGCGTCGCCTCCTCGTCCAGCAGCTCCTCGACCTTGGTTCGGATCTTGCCGAGCCTCTCCTTGGCGCTGATGAGCTGGGCCTTCAGCTCATGCAGCTGCTTCTCCGAGCCCTTGCTGGCGCCAATCATGTACTTGAGCACGCCGATATCGAACTCCAGGGCAGGGTCCTCCTTCCCTGCGTCACGGACCGCGACGAGGAGGTTGGCAAACTTCTGGAGCTTCGACTGGGCCTTCGACTTGTAGATCTTCAGCTCATCCGCCTCTGGCGGCGGTGGTTCCCACACCGTGATGTTAGCAATCGCTTCATCAGGTGCTGCAACTGGAATCTGCGCAATCAGTTCCCTGATGCTGGCGGACTTCTTCTGGTCCCTCATTCTGCTGGCAGAACGTCTGGTGGGGTCGGGGCGAGGAGCCCACACGTTGCCGCAAGAGCAAGTCCACAGAGAGTTCGGATTCCTGGTCTCACACTGCCTGCATGTCCACGTGCCTCCTCCCATCGCGCTGTGGTGCGACTCGAGGAGGCGCTTGGCCTGGAGCACGCTGAGGAGCAGCCGAGCTCGCCCCCGCTCTGCTCGCTGCCTCTTGTGCCAGGCCGGCTCGGGGGAGCCTCTGCGGCGCCCCGAGCGCGCCGTGTGTCGCGCGCGCCCTCTGGTGCTCAGCCGCGGGCCTGGCCGCGGGAGCGTTCGCGAGAAAGTGTCGCGAGGGGGGCGCGGCGCCTGAGCCCTGTGCTCCGCCAAAATGGCCTGAGTCCTCCTCCTCCTCCTCCTCCTCCTCCTCCTCCTCCTCCTCCTCCTCCTCCTCCTCCTCCTCCTCCTCCTCCTCCTCCTGGTCCTCCTCCTGGTCCTCCCGAGCCACGACAGGCGCGGAGGAAGGGTGAGACGGAGCGGCTGGGACGGCGGAGGCGTCTCGCAGCCGTGCGCGCCCCTGCCCGAAGAGAGCCCCCCGCGTGGCTCCCCCGGGAGGCCCGCACCCATCGCGCCCCCTGCCCGAAGGGAACCCCCCTGGGAGCTCCCCCCTCCCGCCCCCGCCTGCTCAGAAGCAATCCTCCCCTCCCCTCCTCCCCTCCCCTCCCCTCCCCTCCCCCCCTCCCCCTCCTCCTTTTCCCCCTTCTCCTCCTCCTCCTCATCCTTCTCCTCCTGCTCCTCCTCCTCCTCAGCCTCCTCTTCTTAGCATTAGTTGTATTAGTCGCCTTCTTCGTATTAATCTTATGCTAATAACACGATGAGTCGCATTAGTATTATTATGATTAATATGCACATTATTCATATTAGTACTAGCAGTTGTATGGTTCGTCCCGTCTGTCAGTTAATGAGTTGCTTTCTTTCGAAGTATGACAAATATCATCAATGCCATTAGCATTCGTGATTCGCACTATCATTCGTATTATTAGTCTCCGTATGAGTACTAGTAATATTGTGGTGTGTCTTCATAATCTTGATACTATTACTCTTACTCTATTACTCTTACTCTGAATTATGTTGGCATTACTATTGGTGATAATATGAACCCTCCTCCTCAACCTCCTCTTCCTCCTCCTCCTCCTCCTCCTCTCCCTCCTCCTCCTCCTCATCCTCATCTTCTTCATCATCATCATCATCAGCAGCAGCATCATCATCAGAATCATCATCATCAGCATCAGCAGCATCATCATCACCATCATCATCATAATCATCATCATCATCATCATCATCATCATCATCATCATCATCATCATCATCATCATCATCATCATCCTCATCCTCATCCTCATCCTCATCCTCATCCTCATCCTCATCCTCCTCATCCCTTCTCCTCCTCATCCTCCTCCTCATCATCCTCCTCCCTCCCTTCCCCTCCCCTCGTGACTACCGACTCCGCTGGACCTCCCAGGAGCCCACGAAAGCGGCGACAGTTGCTCAGTCCGCAGCCCCCCAGGGAATCGCGAGGTCTCGACGGGGTGCGCGTGACTACCGCCTCCGCTGGACCTCCCAGGAGCCCACGAAAGCGGCGACATTTGCGTAGTTCGCAGCCCCCCAGGGAGCCGCAAGGTCTCATCGGGGTGTGCGTGACTGCCGCCTCCGCTGCACCTCCCAAGAGCCCACGAGAGTGGCGACGTTGGCGCACTTTGCAGTCCCCAGGGGAGCCGCGAAATCTCGACGGGGTGCGAGTGACTACCGACCCCTCTGGACCTCCCAGGAACCTACGAAAGGGGCGGCAGTTCCGCAGTTCGTAGCCCTCAGGGAGCTGCGAGGTCTCGACGGGGTCTGGGTGACGACCGACTCCGCTGCACCTACCAAGAGCCCACGAAAGCGGCGACATTTGCATAGTTTACAGCCCCCCAGGGAGCCGCAAGGTCTCGACGGAGTGTGCATACGAAAGTAGCGGCAGTTACGCACTTCGCAGCCCCCCAAGAGAGCCGCGAGATCTCGGCTGGGTCTCACTCCGCTGTGCCTCCCAGGAGCCCAAGGGACGAGGAGGCCCAAGGGACCCCAAGGACCAAGGAGTTCAAAATCCACCACGGAGCCGCGAGAGGAATGAAGAGGAGGCACGAAGAGGAGGAGGATGAGTAGGAGGAGGAGGAGGCAGCAGGAGGAGGCAGAAGGAGGATGGAGACAACCGTGCCCTATTCAAAACGAGAACCCAACACAGGAGGGTCAGGGAAAAAACGACGGGCCTGCGCCATGGTCCGGTATCTGGGCAAGATGACGAAGACGCCGCCGCCGAGCACCAGCGCCAGCACGGGCACCGCGAGCTGCGCGCACAGATCCGCGCTTCCAGTGTGGGCCGGCTCCTGGCGAGGAGGTGCGCGAGACACTGGACGGCCAACCCCGGGAGGAAAAAGGCGAAGAAGCACAGCCAAACACGCGCGCACACAATTCTCTCGGACGCAACCAGCGGGCAGTGCCACGGGACACATTGGCAAATAATGCACGAAGTTCGGGAAGTAGCGTAGTCAAGCGATGATCCCACATGCGCGCAATGGCGACCTGGGGTCGCAAAAAACGGCTGTGCAAAGCAGGGCGAAAAAGACGACGCGCGCGCGCGCGCACACACACACACAGACACACGTAATGCTCCACCAGCGGGGTGACTGCACAGTCGCGGCCACTAAGCCACCACCCCCCACACACACACACACACACACACACACACACACACACACACACACACACACACACACACACACACACACACACACACAAACACACAGACACACACACACACACACACACACACATACACGTGTGAATATACACATGATACCGGAGAAAAATCCCAATCAAGGCTATAGAGTTGCAGGGCTATAGGGCTATTGGGCTATTGGGCTATAAGGCTATAAGGCTATAGGGCTATAGGGCACCCCCGGGCACCCCCGGGCACCCCCGGGCACGCCAGGGCACCCGGGCACCCGGGCACCCGGGCACCCGGGCACCCCCGGGCACCCCCCGGGCACCCGGGCGTGCAACGAAAATCGGCGGCCAACCTCACCCCCGGGCACCCCCGGGCACCTGGGCACCCAGGCGTGCAGCGAAAATCGGTGGCCACGCTAACCTAACCATATGAATCCGCTAGGACCCCTACAGAGGCACACTGATTGAGGAATATAAAGACATACACGCATGCATTACATACAGACATGCATGCATACATATATATATATATATATATATACACGTACATACATACATACATACATACATACATACATACATACATACATGCATACATGCATGCATGCATGCATGCATGCATGCATGCATGCATGCATACATACATACATACATACATACATACATACATACATACATACATACATACATACATACATTACGTACGTACATACATACATACATACATGCATGCATACACTAATATATGTACATATAAGATCAATCATACATACATACATGCATGGATACATACATGCATGCATACATACATTAATTACACACCTACATACATGCATACCTACATACCTACCTGCCTACATACCTACATGCGGGCATACATACATACATGCATGAATGCATGCATGCATACGTACATGCAGACATATCTGCATACACACATGCATACATATATACAGAAAGAAAACATGCGAACATACTGACATACATACATGCATGCATGCATGTATGCATACATACATACAGACAGACATGCATACATGCATACATGCATGCATACCAACATGCCCACATACCTACATACCTGAATACTTACATACACGCATGCATGCCGCTATACATACATACAGATAGACAGACAGACAGACAGACGTACATACATACAGACATACATACAGCAATGCAAATATGTATATACATACAGACAGACAGACAGACAGACAGACAGACATATGTACATACATTGCATACTTACATACATACATTGCATGCATGCATGCACACACATACGTACACACGCATACATATATATATATATATACATATATATATGCATACCGACATACACACAAACATACATACATACATACATGCATACATACATACATACATACATACATACTTACATACATACATACTTACATACATACATACATACATACATACATACATACGCCACCGTGCCTGCGCGGAGTGGGCGAGTTAGAATGCTCCTGTGGCCCCGCTAGGAGTGTTTTTTAAATGTTTTCTAGGGCCGACCCCCTCCCTGGTCAGTGCGCGTCCCTAGAGAACCGCCCCTTCAGAAATTGCTCCCCCACGCTCTCTTCGGCCTCCAAACGGCCAAGATGGCCTCCAAGACGGCTTCCAAGACAGCCAAGGCGACATCAAAACGGCCTAAGATGGCCCAAGACAGCTCAAGAGCCTCTTGAGAGAGCCTCAAGACTGCTCAAGATAGCCCCAGAAGGCCTCAAGACGGCCTTGAAGGCCGCCAAAACGGCCCAAGAGAGGTCCAACACGCTTTCCTGGAGAGCCCGAAGAGGGCAAGACCACTGGTGTTCCGCAGGTGTTTCAAAGATTTTGAGGTTCTCGCCTGTTCGGGCTTCCGACAACCCAAGACTGCCCAAGAGGCTTCCAAGATGCCTCCAAGGTAGCTCCAAGACAGCACAAGAGGCCCCCAAGAGGTCCCCAAGTCGGCCCAAGAGGACCCAAAGAGCGCTCAAGGGGCGACCAAAGAAGGCCTCAAGGCGGCCTTGAAGCGCTCCAAGAGAACAGCAAGAAGGCCCAAAGTGGCCTCGTGGACTGTCTTGGGCGATCGGAAGCTCAAACATGCCGGAGCCTCAAAATCCTTCAAACACATAAGGGAAATCAATCTTCTTGGACTGCTCGGGCTCTTCTGGAGGGCATCTTGGAGACTTCTTTGGCCGTCTTGGGGGCCTCTTGATCTGTCTTGGGGGCCTTCATGGGAGCCTCATGGCCTCCAGGTCGGCTTTCAAGGCAGCCAACATGACGCCAAGATGGCCCAAGACGGCTCAAGAAGCTCCCAAGACAGCTCCAAGACAGATCAAGAGGCACCCAAGACGGCCCGAGAGGTCTCCAAGAGGCCCTCCTGGGACCCGAGGAGGTCAAACCCATTGATTTGCCACTGGTAATTGACACGTTCAGGTTTCCGACCGCCCTAGACGGCCCAAGAAGCCTTCAAGAGGCCTGCAAAATAGCCCCAAGACAGCCCAAGAGGCCCCCAAGAGGGCCCAAAGTCGGCCCCAGAGGATCCAAATATCGCCCACGGGGCTCTAAAGAGGGCCCCAAGACTGCCGTGAACCGCTCCAAGAGGGCACCAACGCGGCCTAGAACCCCCAAGGCGGCTTCCATACGCGTCAGACGGACCGAGTCCCCTCAAGGCGGCGCAAGAGGCCTCAAGAGGCCCCCAAAAGGCCCCCAAGAAACTGTCAGGAAGCTCCCGGGAGGCTGCCAGGAAGCCAAGAGAAGGCCCCAAGAAGCCTTCCCTTCCTCATCCTCATTTTCTCCCTCTCCTCCTCCTCCTCCTTCTCGTCCTCCTCCTCCTCCTCCTCCTCCTTCTCCTCCTCTTCTTAATAGAATGAGTAGGATGATGATGATGATGATGATGATGATGATGATGATGATGATGATGATGATGATGGTGATGATGATGGTGATGATGATGATGATTCGTAGTAGTAGTAGTAGTAGTAGTAGTAGTAGTAGTAGTAGTAGTAGTAGTAGTAGTAGTAGTAGTAGTAGTAGTAGTAGTAGTAGTAGTAGTAGTAGTAGTAGTAGTAGTAGTAGTAGTAGTAGTAGTAGTAGTAGTAGTAGTAGTAGTAGTAGTAGTAGTACTAGTAGTAGTACTAGTACTAGTACTAGTACTAGTACTAGTACTAGTACTTGTACTAGTACTACTACTAGTACTAGTAGTAGTAGTCGTAGTAGTAGTAGAAGAAGAAGTAGCAGTATGATTATTAATAATAGTATTACGATTGTTATAATTCCCTACCTAGGCTCTGCCTAGAAGGGTTCTTACCCTGTAAGCTTAAGGGGCCGGGCAGTGGTCCCCGCCCCGGGCGGTTCCCCCAGGATCCGCCCCGCGGTTCCCCCAGCGACGTCCCCTTAGCTTAGCGTTGCTTATCTCATCTTAGCTTAGCCTAGCTTAGCTTAGCTTAGCTTAGCTTAGCTTCGCTTCGCTTAGCTTAGCCTAGCCTAGCTTAGCTTAGCTCAGCTTAGCTTAGCCTAGCTCAGCTTTGCTTAGCTTAGCTTAGCTAAGCTAGCTTAGCGCAGCGCAGCATTAGCATAGCAGAGCATAGCATAGCATAGCGCAGCATATCATAGCGCAGCATAGCATAGCGCAGCATAGCATAGCATAGCATAGCATAGCGCCGCATATCATAGCATAGCATAGCTTAGCTTAGCATAGACCAGCGCAGAATAGCATAGCATAGCATAGCATAGCGCAGCATAGCATAGCATAGCGTAGCGCAGCATAGCATAGCATAGCATAGCATAGCATAGCGCAGCATAGCATAGCATGGCATAACGCAGTATAGCATATCATAGCATATCATATCATAGCGCAGCATAGCATGGCATGGCATAGCATAGCCTAGCTTAACATAGCGCAGTCTAGCATACCCTAGCATAGCATAACATAGCATAGCGCAGCATAGCGCAGCATAGCATAGCATAGGTGTAGATGTAGATGTAGGTAGTAAGCTGTACTATTACTACTACTGCTAGTACTACTACTACTCCTACTCCTACTCCTACTCCTACTACTACTACTACTACTACTACTACTACTACTACTACTACTACTACTACTACTACTACTACTACTACTACTACTACTACTACTACTACTACTACTACTACTACTACTACTACGACTACTACGACTACTATACTACGACTACTACTACACTACTACTACCACTACTACTACTACTACTACTACTACTACTACTACTACTACTACTACTACTACTACTACTACTACTACGACTACTACTACTACTACTACTACTACTACTACTACTACTACTACTACTACTACTACTACTACTACTACTACTACTACTACTACAACTACTACTACTACTACTACTACTACTACTACTACTACTACTACTACTACTACTACTACTACTACTACTACTACTACTCCTACTACTACTACTACTACTACTACTACTACTACTACTACCACAACTGCTACAACTGCGACGATGAGGAAAAGGAGGAGGACGGCGTTCACCGTTACTACTAATATTGCACTCCTCGGGGCTCCAACTCCTAGGTAGGGTCGCTCTGGGATAACTGTTGTTATTGGTATTAGTGATATTCATAGTATTCCGCCTCCTCCTCATCATCATCA